GCAGGGAAAGGAAGGGTCTAAGACTCCCTGGAGGGTCTCTTAGCTGCCATACGAGGATCTGCTATCCTCTGAGGGGCTGAACACCCGTTTATTTAGTTCTTCATAGGACTCGGTTAGTTTTCAGAAGCTGTGAGGAGCTGCCATTGCCAGCCCATTTGGCAAGTGGGAAACGGGCTCAGAGAGGTTGAGTCACTTGCCCAAGGTCCCTTAGCCAGGAAGTGGCAAAATTGAGATGTGGGCCCAGGGTTGTCGTCGTGGTTTTTCTTGTGAGTCTGCTACCCACTGGGTGGCCCTGGGCCTCCCCTCTGTGAGCCTCCATTTCCTGGTCAGTAAGTGGGCACCAAAGTGTCTGGCCCCGGGGGCTGCAGAGGCTGTGGGTGGCTCCCTGACGCCTGCCCCGCTGTCCCCAGCACACAAGTGGTTGTACCGGGAGATTGGGGACAGCCACCTGCTCCGGTATCTCTCCTGGACTGTGTACCCTGTGGCCCTCATCTCCTTCTCCTCCGGCTTCTCCCAGAGCATCACGCCCTTCTCTGGAGGTGAGTCTGCAGCAGCCATGCCATCGGTCCGCATGCCTTGCGGGCACCATAGTCTCCACTGGCCAGACCTTTACACCTCCCATGGGGCTGCTGAGGGGGAACACAGGAAGCAGCAGCCCCATCTCAGTCAAAGAAGCAGCCTCTGGGGAACCAGCAGTTAGCGTAATGGCTATGTCGCCGGAATCCAATGTAGTTGACATGCCGGGCGCGTGTGCGTGCGTGCCCAAGATCCCGAGAGGAGAATGGAGGAGAAGGGATTGCGGCGTGACCATCCCCCCTGGGGGGTGATTTCTCGCTTTCTGTCTCTATGTCTCTCTCTGTCTGTCTGGCGAGTGCACGCGCCCTATAGCAAAAAACAAACAAACAAACAAACAAAAAACCCTCTTAAAAAAAAAAAAAAAGCAGCAGCCTCTGAAGAGCCCTGTCGCTTGCCTGAAGCCCCGTAGCAAAAAGGCCAGATGCTGACTCTCGGGTCGCTGCAGACTCTACCTCCTTCCGAAGGGCTCCTCTGGGCCGTGACGGGAGGACAGGAGGCAGGTTCCCCTGCAAGGCTGGAGCCAGTGGAGGGGCCTGAGATTCCTCCCCAGCTGCCCTCATCCACTGCAGCAGTCCCCCAGGCCCTGCTAGGAGAACACGGACAACTCACACCCTCTGACCCTTGGCTTCCTCATCCACAGACGGGTTTGGGAATCCTGCCCTCACAGGGCTCTGCAGCTCCTGCTGCGGCCACGTGTGCTTGGAGGGGAGGGCTTTAACCTGAGCTCCCTTCTCATCCCGACCACCCTTCCCAGGGTCTGGGATCCCAGAGCTGAAGACCATCTTGTCAGGCGTGGTCTTGGATGACTACTTGGATATCAAGAACTTTGGAGCCAAGGTGGTGGGCCTCTCCTGCACCCTCGCCACCGGCAGCACCATCTTCCTGGGCAAAGTGGTAGGGGCAGGCGTGAGAGTCCCCGGCCCACCCTCCGCCCTCCTGCCCCTGCCTTTCCTCGTCGTCAGAGGGAACTCAGGCCAGGCTGTGCCTTCAAGAGCTCAGTCTTGGAGGACAAGCAGGTCAGGTCCCCAGACTGTGACAAAGGCCCCTCAGGACATCCCTGGGGGTGGGGAGATGGACGAGGAAGCGTGGGTGGGGGGAAAGTCATGTTGTCTTAGGGGGGCTCCTCTACTCCCCTCTCCAGGGCCCCAGGGTGGGGGAGGGAGGGCTGCCTCCCCTCGGGGCATGCCCGTGTCCACACCTCGCCTTGGCAGGGCCCTTTCGTGCACCTGTCTGTGATGATTGCTGCCTACCTGGGCCGCATGCGCATGAAGACCATCGGGGACTCTGACGTAAGTGGCTGGGGGCTCCCCTGGAGGAGGAGGAGGGAGGAGTGGGGGGGCGCTGACTCTGAGCTGGCACTCGGCTCCCCCAGAACAAGAGCAAGCAGAATGAAATGCTGGTGGCAGGGGCGGCGGTGGGCGTGGCCACGGTCTTCGCTGCGCCCTTCAGCGGTGAGACCTCCCTCTGTCCTCCTGCACCCCCGACTGGTTCACGCCCCTCCTCTTCCCTGGAGCCCCTGGGTGGGCCAGCTCCACCTCTGCCCAGCTAAGCCCAGAGGAGGTTCTGGGGCTCATTCCAGCTCTCAGTGGTGTTGCTGTGAGCTTGGCCGCCCTGGGCGAGGGCATGTGGAGCTACTTTAGGGTTCCATTAGACTCACTTGGATTTAAAAGCCAGCTCCTGCTGCGTGACCCTGGCCAGTGAGTTCGCCTCTGAACCTGGTTTTCCTCATCTGTGGTGACAGGGTCACAGGAGTCCCTACACTTTGAGATGGGCACACAGGCACCTGATGGCTAGGCTGGCTGGACATGTTCCCTGGTCAGCAGGTCCCGTGCCCAGGGGTCAAGTCCTGCCCACCTCCGCCCCTGTCATGTCTGCCCAGGGCTGTAGGACCGGAGATGAGGGAGCAGGTGATGCCGGGAACCCTGTGGCTGTGGACTGGGTGGGGGGGATCCTCCTGAGCTCAGTGTCCCCCCACCCAGGTGTCCTGTTCAGCATCGAGGTCATGTCTTCCCACTTCTCTGTCTGGGATTACTGGAGGGGCTTCTTCGCGGCCACCTGCGGGGCCTTCATGTTCCGACTCCTGGCGATCTTCAACAGCGAGCAGGGTGAGCCCCTGGGCTCCCTGGGCTGCCCCTCCTCTCCCTCTGCATCTCCTTCCTCCTCCTGGCCCTCCTGCTTCCCTGTTTTCACGCCATTCGTGATAGAATGCACGTGCCCTTGAGCCGGAGACCGGCACTCCCCACAGGGCCTGGTCGCCCAGAGCCCTTCCTCCAGCCTGCAGCGTCCGGTCGTGGCGCTCGCTCGCATGCCTGGTGTGTCAGGTTGACAGGCCGGGACTGAAGCCCTGGCTGCCACATGGGACCCAGCCGGGCCCCATCCTGTCCCCCTTTTCTCTCCCTCTTTCCACCTCCATCTGGGAGGATGGAGAAGCTGGCCCATGCTGGGCATGAGGGACGTTGGGCCTGAGGGTGGAAGGGGCGGAGCTGGGCAGGGACGGGAGGGCCCGGTTGTGGGGCCTCGATAACCAGGAAAAGGATGTCTGTGCTGGCACCTGGCGGCCCACCCCGCCTGCTGACACTGGGACTTGGGTCTGGGTGCGGTGGGAGTGCGAGCTCAGATCCCCACTCCCACTTCCCCAGAGACCATCACCACCCTCTTCCAGACCAGCTTCCCGGTAGACGTCCCCTTCGACTTGCCCGAGATCTTCTTTTTTGTGGCACTGGGGTGAGTGGGTGCCTTGGGCCCCTTGGGAGTCCACCAGGGGCCTCCCGCAGGCCTAGGCTGGGGCCCCTGGTTCAGGGCAGCTCCAGATCAGGCCCCTCCCCCAGGGCTATCTGCGGGGTCCTGGCCTGCGCGTACCTCTTCTGCCAGCGAAACTTTGTCATCTTCATCAAGACCAATCGGATCCTCTCCAGTCTGCTGGCCACCAGGTGGGCTCCGGGCTCCGACTGCCTTCAGCGGACTCTGCACCTCGTGGAGAAAGCCCCATTTCCTGCCTGACCCCTCCTTCCGAGCCCCCAACCCTCTTAGGGAGCCCCCATTTCTCACTAACAGCCCTCTCCACATTCTCACAGTCACTGCACCCCCTTTCTGGGCCACCAGCCCCATCACTTAACCCCCACCCCAAGCCCCAGCTCCCCTACTGAGCCCTCTCCTCTCCCAACCTTGTCTGCACCCTGGCTTTGGTGCCGGCAGCCCTCCTGCCCTGGGCCAGCGATGTGCCAGCCCCGCCCGGGCTTCCCTCCCAGCCTCCTCTGCCCCAACCTCCCCCATCAGCCCTGACCCCATCACACTCCGTAGTGGGGGCTGAGTCCCACCCATCCCTTCTCCATCCTGGCTTCCTCTGATGGGCTGGGGGCTGGGTGAGGCCCTGTCCAGAGTGGAGGAGGGGTGACCCCAGAGCACCCCTCTCCCAACAGCAAGCCTCTGTACTCTGCCCTGGCGGCCTTGGCTCTCGCCTCCATCACCTACCCCCCCAGCGTGGGCCGCTTCATCGCTTCTCGGGTAAGGGACCTTGAGCTTCGGGTGGCAGACATGGGGAACCCCCATTTTCACCCACTCACTCATGTGCATTATCTTACTTTGTCCCCGTGACACTTCGTAAGAGAGACATCTCTGTAGCTTTTTTTTGAGAGGTTTTGCTATAGGGCACATGTGCTTGCCAGAAAGACAGAGATAGACAGACAGACAGAAAGCAAGAAATCACCCCCCGGAGGGGTTAGCCACACCACAATCCCTTCTCCTTCATTCTCCTCTTGGGATCTTGGGCACGCACGCACACGCGCCCGGCATGAATTTAAGCCACCAGGGGCACGCACGCACACGCACCCGGCATGAGTTTAAGCCACCAAGTCCAGGACTCAAACCACAGTCAACTACATGGGAGTCCAGTGACATAACCATTATGCTAACTGCTGGTCCCCTATGTAGCATTAAAAAAATAATTATTATTTATTTAATTAATTTGTTTGTTTATTTTTAGAGAATATTTTTTGCTATAGGGTGTATGTGCTTGCTGGAGAGACAGAGACAGAAAGCAAGAAATCACCCCCCCCCGGGGGGGATGGCTGAGACACAATCCGTTCTCCATTCTCCTCTTGAGATTTTGGGCATGCACGCATACACACACACCCAGTGTGAGTTTTAAGCTGCCGGGTCTGGGACTCAAACCACGGTCAACTACGTGGGAGTCCAGCGACATAGCCCTTATGCCATCTGCAGGTCCCTCATTATTATTGTTCTTAAATTTGCTACAGGGCACATGTGCTTACCAGAGAAAGAGAGAGAGGGGGCAAGTGAGAAAGCAAGCTGCCAGGTCTGGGACTAGAACCGTGGTCAGCCAGGCGGGAGTCCAGCACCTTTAACCTCCATGCCACCTGCTCGCCCTGCGTCATATATATATTTTTCAAAGCACCCCCAGAGGGGTGGCCACACTGCAATCCTTTCTTTTATCCTTCTCTTGGGATCTGGGGCACGTACACATGTGCCTGGCATGATTTTCAAGCTGCTGGGTCCAGGACTCCAACCACACTGTCAGCCATGTGGGATCCAGTGCCTTAACCTCCATGCCACCTGCTTGCCCGACTATGCACCATTTTACAAATGCGGAAACTGCAGTTCAGAGAGACTAGGGCCATTCCCAAGGCTCCCCAGCTGGGAAGCGGCAGAGTAGGATCTGAGGCAGGGTCAGGCGGTAAGGGGGCTGCTGGGATTGCTGCTCAGCCCCCTCAGGCAGACCTTTCCCCGCCCCCTGCCCCAGCTGTCCATGGGGGAGCTTCTGAGCTCACTGCTCGACAACAACTCATGGGCACTGATGACACGGAACTCATCCCCACCCTGGCCTGCGGAGCCCGACCCCCAGAACATGTGGTTCGAATGGTACCACCCGCAGTTCACCGTCTTTGGGACCCTCATCTTCTTCTTCATTATGAAGGTGGGTCCCTGGGCCCCCAGAGTGCGCTCAGAGCCAAAACCAACTTTGTTAGGGCGGGGCAGCCTCCTCAGCACATAGTATGACTGAGCACATCACACAGTATGACTGAGCCTGGCCCTCTACCCCGCCTCCCTAGTCTGACCCTGCCTCCCTAGTCCCCCCTCGCCCCTCCAACCCCTGTTCTGTGGTCCCCAGCAGGTCCCGCCCACTCCAAGCCTCGGTCTTCTCTTCTTCAAAACGGGGTAGTTGTGGTTTTCTACCCCAAGGGAAGGCCAAGAGAGCCGGTGCCAGGCACACAGTGGGTGCTTATTGGGCGAGATTCTTTTCCTGCTGGCTGTCTTTCCCCAAGTGGGACACATGCCTGGGCACCCTCTCTGAGGCTCCCTGTCCCCACCCCGTCTCTCTGTGCCCACACCTTGCCCCGGCCTCTAACTCCCACCCCTGGGCTCCTACTGCCCACAGTTCTGGATGCTGATTCTGGCCACCACGCTGCCCATCCCCGCCGGGTACTTCATGCCCGTGTTCATCCTTGGTGAGTCTGGAGTCCCGAACGTTGAGAGGTTCTGGGTTATCGGTGCAGGGCCTGGTTCCTAGTCTGTGCCCTGCCCCAGGTGGTACTGAGGGTGGGCCCCAGAGATGAGCGCTATGGGACCAAGCCAGCCTGGTTCTGCCTTCCTCACCCAAAGTCTGTGGCCAGGAGCTGTCATCGGGCGCCTCTTGGGGGAGGCCCTGTCTGTCGCCTTCCCTGAAGGCATCGTGGCTGGAGGGGTCACCAACCCCATCACGCCGGGGGCGTATGCCCTGGCAGGTGAGTGGGGTGGGTCCTGCTGGTGGCCAACATCGGACGGCTGGGCTGGTGGTTCTGGGGGACACAGAGTGGTCACTGAGCTGTACCGTCAGCCCCCTCCCTGAGCCCTGTCACTCTCAGTTGCTGCCTTGTCCCCCTTCCTTCACTAAGCCCAGGCACCGGGGCACTCGTAACTGTGGCCAGCGTGAGGCCTTTGGACAGTCGTGGCCGGCCCGTTGCCATAGCCGTGCCAGCCTTGCCCTGGCCCTGCCCCTGCAGGGGCTGCAGCCTTCTCGGGGGCGGTGACCCACACCATCTCCACGGCGCTGCTGGTCTTCGAGCTGACCGGCCAGATCATGCACGCGCTGCCCGTGCTGATGGCAGTGCTGGCGGCCAACGCCATCACCCAGAGCTGCCAGCCCTCCTTTTACGACGGCACCATCATCATCAAGAAGCTGCCCTACCTGCCCAGGATCCTCGGCCGCAGCCTCGGGTGAGTGGCACCCACCTTGGGCTGGCGGGTGGCGCCGTCTGGGTGAGCTGGGTGACCCTCAAGGAGCACCACTGCGCTGACCTTGGACGTGAGGAGTGGGGGGGGCCACACGGCTGCCCCCTGGTCTCTGCTCTCCTGCTGCCCTGTGTGACCTTGGCCCCACGACCTGATGAGGGGCTCAGAGAGGTGCTGTGTCTTGCTCCAGGTCACACAGAGAACCAGCCCCAGATCTGAGAGGTCCCCCCTCGCCCCTCCAACCCCTGCTCTGCTCCCTTACTGGCACATTGGGAGCTGGAGGTGGGACTAGATGGAAACGAGTCTGGAGATCCAGAGCAGCTTCTGTCCTCGGAGAAGCAGGGCTCAGAGCTCTGAGAGCTCCGGGGGCAAGGCCAGCCCCATCCCCACTCCCCGTGAGAGCTCGAGCGACTTGGTCCAGACAAGCAGTGCCTGATAGGTACTGCATACGCCGGGGCTAGCCGTGTGCTGGCGCTGTGTGGCCACTGTGCCCTCGTGCAGGTGAGACAAGTGCACGCTCAGTGAAACAAGATAGGCATCAGGACCAGCAGGTGGCATAGTGGTTATGTCACCAGACTCTCACGTGGCCGACCACAATTCGAGTCCCGGATTCGGTGACTTAAAAATCACACGGGGCATGTATACATGTGTGTCCAAGATCCTGGGAGGAGAATGGAGAAGGGATTGCAGTGTGGCTGTCTCCCTGGGGATGATTTGTCACTTTCCTTCCCACTGTCTTTTTCTTTCTCTCTGGTGAGAACACATGCCCTATGGCAAAAAGCTCTAAAAAAAAAAAAAAAGAAAAGAAAAGAAAAAGAAAAAGAAAAGAAAAGAGAAAATGAGGCAGTCATTAAACCTTGAAGTCCGCCCCCCCATGTAATTTTTCTTCAAATGAAATTCTCCAGGAAAAGCTGCAGGCTAAGCCAGACCGATGTGGGCTGGTCGGGGAGACAGGAGCCCGGGGGCTGGAGGTCAGGACAACCTCCAGGTTCTTTGCACTGTATGGTTCCTGCTACACTCAAGCACCATGAGTCCTTGTTCCCAGCTGCCACAGCCTCGTCCTGCAGCCTGACAGCCCCACAGGGCCTGACGGGAGCATGCCTCTGCCCGCAGCTCCCATCCTGTGACTGTGGAGCATTTCATGAACGGCACCATCACCACGCTGGCCAAGGACATGCCGCTGGGGGAACTGGTCAAGGTCGTGACGTCCACAGGACTGGCTGAGTACCCACTGGTGGAGAGCACAGGTACCCAGCAGGAGGCAGGCAGATGGCTGGCCAGGGGCGGTGTAGGAATTCCCCCACCTTCCTTATGGACCAGGAAAGGGGAAGCAGGACTTAGGGTTGTCGGGCAGACCTGAATCAGAATCCAGGTTCTGTGACTTAGTAACTGTGTGATCTTGGGCAAGTCTCTTCACTTCTCTGAGCCGCAGTGTCCTCACTGCTAAAATGGAAACAATAACCTACCTTGGGATGGCCGACAGCTGGAACGAGAGCAGGGAAGGTGCTCCTAAGACACTCCAGGAGCAGCGTCTGGGAGTCTAAGAACCAAGCCCCGGTTACCTGAGAGTGGAGGCCGGCCAACGGGGACCCTACTGGGTCTTCCGGGAGCCTCCTCCCTCCGGCCTTCCTTTAAGCAGTTCCCTCCTAAGTCCCTCCCCAAATCCCTGATCCACAAGAAAAAACCCTTTGGAACAGCAGTCCTTGCAAAAAAGAAACATTCCTGATCCACAAGAAAAAACCCTTTGGAACAGTGGTCCTTGCTAAAAAGACACATGGGCTAAGGCTTGGGGAAGACGGAAGTAGAGCGTTTTTCCTGTTGAGGCGATACAGAACCTGAATAGAGAAGGTAAGCCGGGGGCTCGTGCCCACTCGCTCTTCTGCAGCCAGCACACCCTGGTGCACGTGAGGCCCGTGCACACGCTGTGCATGGCGTGGCTGGATTCTGATTCGTGCCTGCCCTTTCAGCAAGTCACCTTGTGCAGTGAGCAGTCTCTGCAACCACATGGGTCACCCATGCCCACCCCAAGGGGAAAGAGCCAGGAGTAAACCCCTCAGGTGCTATGAGCCCCAGCTCTGTTTTCCTCATCTGGGAACTAGAGATCAATACGGTATAGGGTCACCAGAGGTTCTCATCCCCAATGCCGGCCTTCCTCCCTGCCCTAGCTGGGACACACTTAGGATTATGCTGTAGGACATGCCAAGGAACTCATTGGAAAATCATATGGATGACCCACCAAGAGTTCTCCTCTGGGAACTGAGAACTGGCCTCAAGGCAAAGTCCTGTTTGCCTTTCGAGCCACAGACAGTGAAGAACTCCCGCTCACAGGCCCAGGCTGTACACTGCATGGCTCCCCTGAGAACCAAACTTAGTTGTTTATAGAAGGAAAGTGGGGTGGGCAGTCAGTGATGCGGCAGTAACACAGCTGGATCCATGTGGGAGAAGTCCAAAGTTCGGTCCCGGGCCTCGCTAAGCATGCCAGGTGCGCATGTGTGGCCGAGACTGGAGCTGGACAGTCCTGTGAAGGCCAAGTTGCGGGTGCCTCCTGCTCTCTGTCTCTGCCTCTCTCGAAAGAGAGAAATGGATCATTTGTGTTTGTTTGCTATAGAGCACATGTGCTTGCCAAAGACAGAGACAGAGAGGAAGTGGTAAATCAGCCTCCAGGAGGGATGGCCACGCAGCAATCCCTTCTCCATTCTCAGCGTGGGATGTTGCGCATGCACGCACACACCCCCAGTGTGATTTTCTTTTCTTTTCTTTTCTTTTCTTTTCTTTTCTTTCTTTTTTTTTTTTGAGAGGTTTTTGCTATAGGGCACATGCACTCACCATAAAGACAGAGACAGGAAGCAAGAAATCATCCCCCGGGGGGGATGGCCACACCGCAATCCCTTCTCCTCCATTCTCCTCTCGGGATCTTGGGCATGCACCCACATGTGCCCAGCGTGAGTTTAAGCCACCGGGTCTGGCACTCGAGCCGCAGTTGACTACATGGGAGTCCAGCGACATGGCCATTACGCCAACTGCTGTTCCCAGCCCATTGTGATTTTCAAGCCACTGGGTCCAGTATTTGAACCACTCATTTGGCCGTGTGAAATCTAGCCTCCTTTACTTCTGTACCACCTGTTGACCCAAGTAAACTTTTGTTTTTGTTAAGGAGGGGGACACTTATATGTATAATTGTCAAGTTTTTATTTTACTGGACAAAAAGCAAAGATGCTCAGATGGCCCCTCAGAACTGAAGCCTGCCAAGTCCTGTGATACCCAGGGCTAGCATGGGGTCTGTCAAGGCCCAGCACCCAGCAGGACCTGGAGCACAGTGGCCTCCTGGGCTTACTCCTACTCTGGACTGAGCCAGACCTGAGCCCCATGGTGGGAAAATGAGGGAGAGAGCCCAGCCCTAGCACACAGGTAGGAAGCCGAGTGCAAGAAAATTAGCCCTGTGCCGTTGAGCCTGTTTCCTCTTCTTTTAAATGGGTCTTATGGTTACAGTAGACCCAAAGGCCACTGTGATGTTCCTGAGAGACGTGAGCATACCCAGCATCATTCTTGGCAGTAGGTGTTCAGTAAATATTAGCTCTCTTCTTTTAATTTTTTTTCCCATAGGGTGTGTGTGCTTGCTTTAAAGAGATGAGAGAAAGAGAGAGAGAGAGATAAATGACGTCCCAGGGAGGATGGCCATGCTGCAACCCCTTCTCCGCCATTCTCCTCTCAGGATTTTGGGCACGCATGCACATACATTCAGCACGATTTTCTTTAGTAATTTCTCTCTCTTTTTTTCAAGAGAGAGATTTTTGATATACGGTATGTGGCTTGCCGGAGAGACAGAGAAAGACAGAGACAGAAAGCGAGAAGTCAGCCCCCAGGGGGGATGGCCACACTGCAATCCCTTCTCCTCCGTTCTCTTCTAGGGATCTTGGGCACACATGCACACAAACCTGGCATGAGTTTTAAGCCGCCAGATCCAGGACTTGAACCGTGGTCGACTATGTGGGAGTCCAGTGATGTAACCATTATGCTATCTGCTGGCCTCTCTTTTTCTTTTTCTTTTTCTTTTTTTTTAAAGAGGTTTTTGCCTAGGACCAGCAGTTAGGGTAATGGCTATGTCGCCGGACTCCCGCAGTTCGAGTCCTGGACCCGGTAGCTTAAACTCACGCCGGGCCCGTGTGCGTGCATGCCCAAGATCCCGAGAGGAGAATGGAGGAGAAGGGATTGCGGCATGGCCATCCCCCCTGGGGGGTGATTTCTCTCTTTCTGTCTCTCTCTGTCTTTCTGACGAGTGCACGTGCCCTATAGCAAAAACCTCTCCCCCCAAAAAAGAGGTTTTTGCCTAGGGCTTGTACACTCACCAGAGAGAGAGAGAGACAGAGATAATGAGAGGGAAAGTAGGAAAATCACTCCCTGCCCCAGGGACGGATGGCCGTGCCATGATCCCTTTTCCATTCTCCTCCTGGGATCTTGGGCACATACACACATGTGCCCAGCGTGATTTTCAAGCCATTGAGTCTGAGACTCGAACTGCAGTTAGCCATGTGGGAATCCAGCAATGTAACTGCTAAGCCATCTACTGGCCCCCTGCATGATTTCTAAGTCACTTGTCCAGGACTCGAACCTTGGTTGGCCATAAGGGAGTCCCTCCTGCACTGTAACCACTGTGCTGCCTGCTGGCCCCAGTTCCCTGTTCCTCAGGCACCCTCTCTTCCTCTCCCCCACTTGCCAGAGTCTCAGCTCCTCGTGGGCGTCGTGCAAAGGGCCCAGTTGGTGCGGGCGCTCCAGGCCGAGCCTCCTTCCTGGGCTCCAGGACAACAGGTGGGTACTCGGGAGGGGTGTTGGACTGGGGAGACCGGCCGGCTTGTGAGGAGGGGCCAGCTCATCTGTGGGAGGTGGTCTGAGGGGCAGCTGAGCTGGGGAGGCTGGCCTCGGCGCTCACAACCCCCCCCCAATCCCCAGCAGTGTCTTCAGGACCTCTTGGCCGGGGGCTGCCCTGTGGAGCCAGTGACTCTGCAACTGTCCCCAGAGACCCCCCTGCACCAGGTAACAGGGAGAACCAGGACTCTGGGGTAGTGGGGAAGGTCCTGCTGGGGACATGAAGGCTTCAGCTCCACCCCAGCGCTGTAACTTTGTTCCTCCTGGGCCTGTATTCCCATCTGCAGAATGAGCACAGCAGCCCCTGCCCTGTCTGCTCCTCATTGCCAATGATGTGGGGGATGAGACTAGGGAAGTGGGAGGCTTGGGAAATCGAGGCCTCTGGGTAGAGAAGGTGATTAAACATACTGCGTTAAAGCACATGAGGGTTTCCATTTCAAGCCCACCACATTCTCCATGAGCAGGACAGAACCTGGCACATGAGGTGGAGGAGGGGCAGGCACAGGCTGGGAACCTGGGTGGCCCTAACCCCTCGCTGACACAGGGTGATGCTGGGTAAAAGGTCCTTTCCAGCTGAAGGCTCGCCTGGCTCCTTGCATGGACTCTGGGGACCCCTAGTGGTCACACTGGACATTGCACCCATCACTTCCTGGCAGGGTAGGGGAAATGGGGAGGGGTTGGGGTGCTGGGCATTCCCTGCTCTCCAGTGTCTCCTAACACCCCCATCCAGGCACACAACCTCTTTGAGATGTTGAATCTTCAGTCGCTCTTCGTGACGTCACGGGGCAGAGCTGTGGGCTCTGTGTCCTGGGTGGAGGTACCAGGGTCCCCAGGGTGGAATGTAGTAGGGGAACCCATGTGAGCAGGCTGGGAGGTGGAAGGGGAGTGCCAACGTCCTCCATCCAAAACCTGGGGGGCCCAAGGATTCTGATGACCCCACCTCCTGGCCCAGACGATACCCGACCTTGTGGCCCGTGGCCTGCCTGCACCACTCTAAAACCCACTCAGAACTGACTCTTGAGGTGGGGAGTCGAGCAATGCTGGCATCCCCATTGTCAACTGTGTCTTCATCCTCCTTCCAAGAAACCCCTTCTTCTTTGTTCTAGTTGAAGAAAGCAATTTCCAACCTGACAAATCCACCAGCCTCCAAGTAAGCCGGCCCGGAGAGACGGAGAGGATACCCGGGCTGCCCTGGTGACTGGCTGGGCAGACGTCTGCCTCCTCCCGCATCACAGCCCACCCCTCAGCCCAGCTCCACCCCATAGAGGGTGCCCTGTTCTCTGTGCCCCATCCTGAGTGCGACGACGGCTGCCAACTCAGAGCATCCCACCCTGCACAGCGCTCGGAGTGTGCGTCGGGGCTCAGGGACTGTCCCTCGAGCTCCTGAATGAAGACAGTGGTGTGTGCTGCCACCAAGGGCAGGCACGGAAGCCCTGGGGCGGGGGCGGGGGGCTCTGCCTCCCAATCGGAGACTCCTGAGAAAAATAAAGCTGCCCCCAGAGCTGCTGCCCATCCTCACGTCAGGCCGGAGGGTGCTGAGCGCACGCCTCGGCCCTCCGCTGTGCTGGCCCAGCTGACACAGGCGTTACAGGTCAGGCCCTGGGCCTGGACCAGATCCAGTGGGGCTGTCCTCAGGTCTCAGCAGGACCCTGGAGCCCAGGGTCACCCTAGCCCTGTCCCTGCCTTGACACAGCCTGGCTGTCAGTGAGGTCCCCAGTGTGGTCCCCCTGGGGAGTTGGAAGAGCCTTGGGTGACCTTTGTGGGGCCTCTGGTGGCAGCAGGTGTGTGTCGGGAGGTGGGTTTAAGTCCCCCTAGACCCCCCACCCAAGGCGCGAGGACCCATTTTCCTCAGCAGAGACCAGGCCAAGTTCATTGGGGGTGAATCCACGACTTTAATGTCTTCAGAGAACCTTGAGGGAGGCGGGATGGGTGCGAGGAGGGAGCGGGCTCCCTGGGGAGGGGAGGGGAAGCAAGGGCACAGGGAAGCAGGAAGAGGGATGGACAGACATCGTCAGACAGTCAAGGAGCAGAGGCTTAGCTACCAGAAGAGGCTGCCCGCCTCGACGAGAGCCAGTGCAGAGGGGGCAGGGACGAGCCCGGCCGGGCCTGGCGTCCACTCCTCTGGGCTGGCTGCCGGGGCTCCGCTGAGCCTGGGGGTCTGCTGAGGCTGAGCTCGCTGAGGGCAGAAACCCCGCGGGGAAGATGCCCACCTGAGCCGAGAAGAGGGAAGGGTTATGGCTTCCCCTGCCGGGGCAGGTCCGCAGAGGCACAGTGGTCCGCAGGGGTGCTGGCGCCCACCCGCGCTTGCCCCAAGGGGTTGAGAGGCGCCCAGCTGCAGGCCCCGCGGTCCCTGGGCTGCCTGCCAGGCGGGGAGGTGGGGCGAGCAGGTCAGCCCGGCCTCAGTTGTAGAACACCTCGTCCTCCTCCGACAGAGAGCCGCTGTCCACTGAGGGCAGGGAGCGCAGCAGGCGGGCCCCACCCTCGGGCTCCGGGCCCCCTGGCAGCCGCCGCCGAAGCTGCTGTCCCAGTCCGGGGGACTCCGAGCCGGCAGCTGTGATGGGGGGCTCCTCCGGGGAAGGCCAGCCATCGTCGGGGGTGAGGCCAGGGGAGAAGGCCAGGAGACTGTCGTCCTGCGAGGGGCCGCTCAGAAGGCTGTCCTGAAGGCAGATGCTCTCCAGGTCTGGAAGACCAGCAGGTGGGGGCGTGAGGGGTGCAGTCCCTGCTCCTCCTCACCCTCCCTGGGTGTGTGAGGGAGGACAGGGGCAGAAGGCCTGCCTCGAAATCTCACTTTGTCACCAAGGCGTGTGACTTTGGGCAAGGCACAGAACCTCTCTGAGCTGCATCTGAGCCCGTTTCCTCCCTGCGGCCCTGAGAGGAGCCAGCCTGTGGGTTCTGGGGATGGAGTCCTTGGCGTCCCCTCCCCCAGGTCAGGGAGGATGAAGCGAGATGCTCACACAGGCTCCGCCCGGGGCCTAGCTCCTCAAGCCCTCAGAAGTAGCCCTGTGTTGGGACCAGCAGGTGGTATGGTGGTTAAGGTGCTGAACACTCCCACACGGTTCGAGTCCCGGACCTGGTGGCTGCCTTTCTCACTTTCCCTCTCTCTCTTTCTCTGTGTCTCTCTCTCTTGCCAAAATAAATAAATAAATAAATAAATAAATAAATGAATAAATAAATCAAAATAAATATAGTTGATGTGGCTAAAGATTCTTGAAAATGCCCAGAGCTAGAAAATGCAAATTATGTGGTTTATCAATCTTTCTTTTACTTAAGTGTGAAACTACCTGACAACAAAATGACAAAATTACTTGAAAGCACATTTGTAGTGTTTACTTTTATTCATTATTTATAGTCCTTCCTCTGTTCATTATAATACATTCTTCTGCCTAGAGAAGATATGAATATACCCTTTTTTGACCATCAGAGAAAGATCCTTTTACTTTCCTCCATAGCAAAAAAAAAAAAAAAAAAAAAAAAAAAAAAAAAAAAATTCACACAGGGTACACGTGTGTGTGTGTGTGTCCAAAATCCCAAGAGGAGATCAGAGAAGGAATTGTGGTGTGGCCATCGCCTCTGGGGGGTGATTTCTCGCCTTCTGTCTCTCTGGCGAGCATACATGCCTAAAGCAAAAATGTCTCTCTTAAACAATTAATTAATTAATTAATTAATTAAAAAGCAGTAACCCTGGGTCCCAGAAAGGTGGCTGGTCGGTTGCGCCTGGTCGTGAGTTTTGGGTCCTGCTCTGATGCCCCTAGCCAATCTGGGCACGTTCTGGATCTCGGGTGCCTCTGTTTCCCCTGCGTATAATACGGGGAGCAGGACTCCCTTCCAGGGCCGCGGCAAGGAGCACAGGTGGCACCAGCCCACACTCGGCTGGGCTCTGGGCTGTGGTCGCTCTCCCGCTGCTCACAGCATTTCCAGGCCGCGGGCAGGCCACAGAGCCCCAGTCCCATCTCACAGACAGAAACAGGCCAGGGGAAGGCGGGCTTGCCCGGCCGCACGGCATTAGGAGACAGAGCCGGTGTCCAGCCTCAACTCATCCCACTCGCCCCCCGACTCCAGGTGCCCACTGGGTTGTACCTTGAAGCTGGACGAGGTCCTGGTGGCTGCTCTCAGGGTGCAGCTCCTCATCGTCCAGGGAGGACCAGGCACTCAGCGTGGCCTCTGTGATGGCAAACTGCTCGGCGACCCCTGGGGGCCAGACTCGGCTCAGTGGGGGCAGAGCAGTCGGGGGGTCAATGACAGGACCTCTCTGGGTTGCCCTTCCCTGCCCCAGCGACCCAGAGTGCCATCCTGACGCCCTGCCCACCCCAGCGTGTTATTTTCCGTGTCCACTGTGCCGCCCGGTGACCCAGACCCCCCGGGGCCCGGCTTCGCCCTGCAGAGCGGCCGGAGTGCCCCTGCCCCACCCACCTGCAGCAAAGCGGGCCTCGCGCAGCTCCTCAGGGAGGCAGTGATAACGCTCGTCCTCTGCCGGGGACAGCTCCCAGCCCGACCGCTGGGCGCTCCAGCCCTTCCACTCGATGAGGTGGGCCACGCGGCCGCGAGCCATGGCCGTGGGCTTCGTGATGTGGTCCTTGATGCTCTGCACCACCCCTGGGGCACCGAGGCACTCGGTGACTGTCCCAGCACATGCCCCGGCTCAGGGGCCTCAACACCCCAGGCTCCCACCAGCCTGAGCAGCCGATGCCCCATGCCCACCCTGTACCACCCCCCCCATGAGGCCTGCACCCCCATCCCCATGCCCAGTCAATGCCCCGTCCTGTGCCCACCCAGTGCCCCACACCCTCCACGGGACCTGCACCCCCATCCCCATGCCCAGCCAATGCCCCATCCTGTGCCCACCCAGTGCCCCACACTCCCCATGGGGTCTGCACCCCCACCCCCATGCCCAGTCAATGCCCCATCCTGTGCCCACCCAGAGCCTCACACCCTCCACGGGGCTTGCACCCACACCCCCCATGCCCAGCCAACGTCCCGTCCTGTGCCCACCCAGTGCCCCACACCCTCCAGGGGACCTGCACCCCTCACCCCCCATGCCCAGCCAATGCCTGGTGCCCCTGCCCTGTGCCCACCTCACTTCACTTAGATGCTGCCCACCCACTTGCATGCCCCCCTCCCAGTGAGAGTCCTTGCCTACTGGGTGCTGCTCCCTCAGACCGGCCATACCCCTCACTTCCCTTCCAAACTAGTTCAGACCCTTCTGCCCAAGGAGCTCCACTCAAGGACCGCTACCATCAGACCCCCAACCTCCCTCGGCACCCAGTGCTTAGCAGGGTCTGCCGCTCCGAGAGAGTGTCTCTGCGCCTTGGCACTGGCCAGTTCCATTGAGGGTGAAGTAGGCAGGGAAAGCTTCCTGGAAGAGGTGCCCTGGAGCCGGGCTGTGAAGGTGGGCTGGATTTGGACACTGAGGCAAGACTGAGGCTAATTCAGAGACGTGAAGAGGGCAAAGGCGTGGTAGAGTCCAGTGTGGTCCCAGGACTAACAGGCCAGACGCTGGGCAGCGCCAGGACGGGGGGCAGACTGAGGGCCGACTGGGCCAGGCTGAGGGCTCAACCTGCACACAGGGATGGGGAGCCGGCAGGGTGAGGATCAGGTGACAGGTGGGTCCGCTGCTTCGGAAGAACAGCCCAAGCAGAGGACAAGGGGCCAAGGCTGAAGGCAGGGCCACGAGGGACCCCTACAGGGACCCAGCGAGCGGTAGGGTCGCATAGGGCAGGCAGAGAGTGGGAGCTGGGGAGGTGATGGGGAGACTGTCAGGAAGGATTCAGCCTGTCCGGTAACCAAGGCTGAGAACACGCATCTGGCTGTCGTAGGTCTCCAGTGCCATGACCTTAGGAAGGGCAATACTGGGTTGGCCCCAGAACACAGAGGTTAAGCCAGATTCCACATGACCAACCATGTTTCAAACCCCGGCCCTGGAGGTTTGGGTAACTATCTGGGTGCATGTTTGTGACCCAAATCCTGATGGGATGCAGAAAAGGAGGGGAAAGGGTTGCAGTGTGACCACACCCCATTGAGGGGCGCTTTCTCTCTCTTCGTCTCTCTCCGGTGAGTGTGCATGCCCTCCGGCATTAAATAAAAAGGCCAGGCCCAACTACTGTGGTGCCAAGGGCGGGGTGCTGCTTCGTGAGTCTGGAGCCACCTGGGAGGCTGGATCAGGCTTGAACCTCAGGCTGGCCTGAGTATGCCAGGCACACCCACACGACTGAGGTGCCCACTATGGGACCAGGGAAAGGGTCTCTGTGTGGTGAGACCCCCGTAAGGGCAGCTCTCGCTCTCTCTCTCTCTCTCTCATAAAATACCAATCAATAAATACAACTTAAAAAAAGAAAAGTTGAGGTGCCCGCCTGGGGACCAGGGGAAATAGAAAGACGTAAGTGAGGAAGCGGGACAGCCCCCAAGCTGGGGAGTGTTGGCCATCAGAGGAGGGTTTCTGGGGGAGGTGGCGGTCCAGGCGGCCCTTGAGAGCAGGTGAGTGGAGGCAAGGTGCCTCAGGTGAGGAACGCGGGCAAGTGTTTTTTGGGCTGGGAAGGGGCTAGTCATCCAGGTACGTAAGGCTCTGAGGGCCACTAGGCCACACTGGGGGCCAGAGGGCTGTCAGGCTGAGCATGGCCCAGAAGCCCGTGCACGGGCCGTGGGGAACAGAGCACGAGGTGGTCGCTGAGACCCCCGTCACTGGCCTGCGGTCCCCAGCGGCTCACACTGACCCTCCTCCTATGCCCTGCCCTGAGCTGTGGGAGCTGCCTCCCCCCGAGATGCTGGGGAGGTTGCTGGGTCCTCCCCAGGGTCCTCCCCAATGGGGGACAGAAAAGTTCAGCCACCTGCCTCCAAGGGGTGCGGTTCACGCTCCAGAGCTCCCCATGGAATCAGGCTGAGGAAGAGAGACTCCCCGAAACTGCGTCCCGGCCAAGCTCCTCCCCAGCCCTGTCTTGCCTCCTCACCCCCTGCAGGCTTCTCTTGAGAGCAACCCCTCAAGGAATCAAGCATGACCCCCATCTTGCCGCTGCATGTAGGAACCCCGGGGCACAGGGCTGCTGTGCAGTTCAGTTCTGCCTTCCTACAGCCAGTGTCCCCTGTGAACAGGGACGGGAGAGGGGCAGCTGGGACCTACCCACGAGGGATGAGGTGGCCAGGGCTGCCACATTGTAGTTGCTGGAGCAGGATCTGGAGTCGGACAGGTAGCCGTTGGTGGTCTGGAAGCACCTCTGCAGAAAGGGGGCGGGTGAGCAGGAGGGGCAGGCTGCCGACGTCATCACCCCACCGTTCCCATGCCCATCATGCGCCCCCTCAAGTCCCCCAGCAGTGGGCAGGGACAGGGCAAGGGCAGGCAAAGCCAGGGAGCCCACACCAAGTCCATCAGGTTGCCCCTCCCAGGCGGGCAGGGCCACATGCACAGGGGAGGGAAGGGCAGTGCCATCTCTGTGGCCTGGGGTGGCCAAACGCACGGACCTGCCAAGGATCCCAACAGAAATCCATCTGTTTGTCCTAAAACGAGAGAACGAGGGTCAGGTGGGGCCAGGCCAAGACCCCAGGTGGTGCCCCAGGAGGCTGGGGTCTGCTCTCCTGGGTCATGCCCTGCAGTCCTCCCAGCAGGAGAAGCTGCAACAGCAACACTGTGGGGGGAGGCTGGTGGTGCAGGGGACAGGATAGACCTGGGTTCGAGCCTTGGCTTTGCCATTTCCTAGCTGAGAATCCTGGGACCAGTGATTTAGCATTTCAGAGTACTGGTCTGCCAACTTTGGAAGAGGGTGACAGTGCCATTCCTGGGCTGTGGGGAAGACAGACGTGTGTGCAGGGGAAGTGCCTAGCGCAATGCTTACCACGTGGTTCATGCTGGAGGGGGAAACCGTAACACGACAGGCAGTTCCTGCCACAACCCTTGGAGCAAGGACGGAAATCACACGCCAGGATCTGGGCCCCCAGCAACGTCTTCCTAATCAATCAGACTGAGATCCCATCCCGTTTATTCCTGAGGGGCGGCGTGGGATTCGGAGGCTGGTAGGGAACATGCTGTCTACAAGGCCAAGTTACCTGCGCGGGAAGACCTTCAGGGGGACTGTCACCAGCCTGGTCCTGTCTCTGATGTCCAGCCCAGTCCTGACCCTCCTCCAGCTGAACACCAGCCTTCATGGGCCCTGATCCCACAGGGAGGAGCCAGGCGGGCGCAGGGGTGGGGAGTGCCCGTTACCTTGCCAGTGACAGATTCCGGAGCAGTGGTGGGTGGGTGTCCAGAGATCAGGTCCGGGTTCAGGGGGTCCGTGCCCTGGGGCACGGGGCAGTCCTTGTGAGCACTTGTGAACAGGTCTGGGAATGGGGATGACAGGAACTTAGACTAGCTCAGCACCTCCGCATTGTTTCATGCGAGACAGACTCGTGTCCCCAGCCGGTGGGGTCCAACCAGACCTGAGGTGGGAATTACTGACCCCATCTTCTTTTTCTTGGAGAGATTTTTCATATGGGGTGTAAGCACTCGCCAGAGACAAAGAGACAGAGAAACAGAAAGCAAGAAATCACCCCCTGGGGAGATGGCCACACCACAATCACCTCTTCTCCCTTCTCCTCGGGATTTTGGGCACACACACACGCGTGCCTGGAGTGAGTTTTAAGCTGCCGGTGCAGGACTCAAACCGCAGTTGGCCATGTGGGAGTCCAACAATGTAACCAATACGCCATCTGCTGGTCCCACGCGCCCCATCCTCTTTTCACCACATCCACTAACTAGTACCCGCACCCCAGCATTTTTGCCTCATGGAGACCTCCGATCCATTTAGCCTCCTGCTCTCCCAAAGCCCCTCGTGGTCTCAGTTCCCCCCAGCCTGGCTAGGACTCCCTGACGCATACACCACGCTTTCTCTGGCGATTCCCTCACCTCTCTGCTGGGACCTGAGCAGCTGAAAGTCATAGGCCACACGTGAAGCCGGGGCCGGGACGCAGGGCGCTGCCCAGGCTCCCTCTGAGTACTGCCTGCTGTGCTTGCTTCTTGCCAGCCGAGGGCTTTCCCTGCCTGCCTCCTCCAACCTCGGACACGGGCACCCCACACTCCCCGCCCCCCTGCTGCCGGATTCTCCTCACCTCCCACTGGATGCAGCACCCCCATCTCACCCCCAGGTTCATCCCCCTGCTTGCCTCCTGCCCACAGCAACTCCTCCACCTCTGTAAGGAAGGAGGAGCTGGAGCCAGCAGGTGCCATGGAGGTGAAGGCAGCTGGATCCTGCTCCATTGGAGTCCCGGACACAGCGACCTGAAAAGCAGGCCAGGCACATGGAACGCGTGCCCAAAGTCCCGAGAGGAGAATGGAGTGGCCATCTCCTCCAGGGGTGATGTCTCACTCCCTCCCCCAACTGTGAGCGTGCATGTCCTCTAGCAAAACTAAAAAGGAAAAGAGCCAAGCTGTCCTGCCCCCTGGAGATCAGCCTGGCCCCCATGGGGCCCCTGCTCCCTCTGCACTCCACCTGGAACCTCGAGGGGCCCTCCTGCCTGTTCTCCTCTCTCCTGTCTCCTCACTGGCTCAAGCCATCAGCATCCCTGAGACCCAAACATCTCTCATGTCTTGAAAACTCTCTCTCTAGGGACCAGTAGGTGGTGTGGTGGTTAAGGCTCTGGACTCCCACATGGCTGACCTCGGTTCAAGTCCTGGATCTGGTGGCTTGCTTTCTCACTTTCCCTCGCTCTCCCTCCCTCTCCCCTCCCTCTCTCTCCCTGATGAGCGTGCATGTCTGTAACAAACTAAAAATAATATTAAACAAAAATTTCTTAAAAAAAAAAAAAGGGGGGGGGTTGGCAGTTGGCATGGTGGTTAAGGCACTGGACACTCCCACATGGCCAACTACGGTTTGATTCTTGGACCTGGTGGTTGGCTTTCTCACTTTCCCTCTCTCATTCTCTCTCTCTCTCTCTGGTCAAAGTGAAATAAATGAATAAATAATTAAATTAAATTAAATTAAATTAAATATTAAAAAAAACTTCTCTCCACCATGTTTCCCTCCCCTACCTGCCCATGGCTCTGTGCCCTCCAGAGCCCTCACAGTCTGTGTGTGACGTCCACCTCCTTGGCCCCCATTTCCGCCCGCTCCTGCCAAGCAGGCTTTCACAAGACGCGCTCCTCCAGCAGCCAGACGCCTCCGCCTCCGTGTGGCCAAGCCCAGTGCCTCCTCTGAACTCATTGTCCTCCGCCAGTGCACAGCACCCCAAAGCGCCCACCCCTTTGGCCCGCATAGCTGCCTGTGTCCTGGCTCCCTCCCTCCTGCTGGCAGAAGCAGGCTCTGTGGCCCCTGCAAGCAGCCACCTGGCACTCATTTCTCCCCCATGCTGCATAGGGGGCTCCCCAGAGAAGCAGCTGGAGAAGTGGGAACACTGACAAGGGAGAGGCCTGGCAGGGGAGGGGCCTGCCGCCCCCTCTGGGATGGCAAGAACAGTACAGTTTTTGAGAGCAAGTGGACAGTGAGGAAAGGGTCTTGTCGGTGCCCCCTAAGAGGGCTGCTTGCAGGACAAGGGAACCCCAGCCCCAAGAGGCTGGAGGATAGCCCAAGTTAGGAGAGAGAAGTCGGGCAGGAAATGGACGAGGTCAAGGAGGTCAGGTCCCCTGTGACAGGGGCTCTAGAGTGACTCCCTGGAGAACCTGTCCGTGCTAACCTGGGAGACATGTGGCCTCCTGTCCCACCGTGTCTCATCGTGCTCCTGGGTGTTCCTCAGAAATCCCCAGCACGGTCCTGCCTCAGGGCCTTTGCACTGGCTGTTCCCTCCCTCCATCTGGAACTCTCTCCTCCCAGACAGCCGCCGCCTCACCTCCTCACTCTATTCCGGTCTCCGCTCAAATGTTACAGGCTGAGCTAGGCCTCCCCTTCTCTCCTCCCGTTTCACAGTGGCCATCCCTCTCCACATCATGTGTGTCCCTCACTGCATCCGCACTCCAGGAGGGCTGGGCCCGCATCTGTTTACCCACCAGAACAGCCCAGCACCTGGCACCCAGCTAACGTCACCCAGAGAAAGAAGGCGTGTGCTGAGGGTTGGCACGTCCTCCAGAAGTTCAGGTATTGAAATCTGGGGAGCCAGATTTGTTGAAAGGACAGGCATTTAACCCCACGGTGGTGTGGGAAGGCGGGGCCTTTGGGAGGTGACTGGGACTGGACGAGGTCCAGGGTGGGACCCTGCCATCCACTCCTGGCAGCTCCGTGAGCCAAGCAGACACGGCACAGGAGCTCCTCCAGTCTCACCGTAGGTGCTGCCTCCACAGGACTCCGCCACGTCCCCGCGACCTTGGCCCTCCAGATCCACCGGCTGAATAAACCTCTCTATAAATCACTCAGGCTGAGTCTCTGCTTCAGCAACAGAATGAACTAAAACAGCAGGAGCCGGTGTCAGCCAAGAGACCAAAAGAGCTCCGGCCCCCCGCCAGACCCCAGCGAGTCGGAGGAGAGAGACCCCAAGAGAAGAAGGTGGGCGGCAGAGAGAAGGGAGTCAGGTCAGGCCAGCTCTATGGCCTGGTGGCTAAGGCAGCTGGATTCCACATGACCAACCTCATGGTTCGAGTCCTAGATCTGGCAGCCTGAGAAACACTCCAGGTGCAGGTGCATGCGTGCCCCTAATCCCAAAATGGAGTGGAGAGGAGGAGGGATTGCAGTGTGACCATCCCACGTGGGGGCATGCTTTTTTCACTTTCCTTCTCTCTCTCTCTCTCCAGCAAGCACATGTGCCCTCTGGCAAACTGAAAAATAAAATAAGGCTATAAAAAGAAAAAGTGTTTGCAATTGGTGTCCTATGGCAAAAATCTAAAAAAGAAAGAAAAGAAAAAGTTTGAGGCCCAGCCAATGAGGGGACACCACTGTGTGGTGGCGAAGCTTGGATCTGTTCCTGGCCCAACCTAAACAGGTGGGACGTGGCGGTACCCCTCCGGGGTCCCATTTAACCGAAACCTAGAGCAGGACTGCACCATGAAGGCACTTTGTCAGCCACTCCCGTCTCCCTCTTTGCTCTCTCGCTGACACCTTTTTTTTTTTTTTTTTTTGGTTCTTGCCATAGGGAGCTTGCACTCACAGGAGAAAGACAGAGACAGTGAGGCAGAAAGTGAGAAATCACTTCCTGGGGGGTGGCCAGGCTGCAATCCCTTCTCCTCCATGCTCCTCTCAGGATTGTGGGCCCATGGCACATGAATACAGTGTGACTGTCAGGCTGCCAGGTCCGGGGCTTGAACCACAGTCAACCATGTGGGAGTCCAATGCCTTTAGCTGGCCCCAAAAGTTATCACTCTTTTTTATTTTTTCTAGGAGAGATTTTTGTATAGGGCGCATGCTCTCAACAGAGAGACAGAAAGTGAGAAATCACTCCCAGGGGGATGGCCACGCCACAACCCCTTCTCCTCCATTCTTCTCTGGGGATCTTGGGCACGCATGCACACATGCCTGGCATGAGTTTTAAGTCACTGGGTCTGGGACTCGAACTGCGATTGACTATGTGGAAGCCTAGCCATGTAACCAGTAAGACATCTGCTGGTCCCAATTGCCACTCTTAAGGCTCTGGAAGTCCCAGAAGCTGTGCACATGTAAGGTGAGGGCAGGGCGGTGGCAGCTACAGGCTGGCCCTGGGAATTTCAAGAGGCGCTGGGGTATTTCTAGGACCCCTGCCCGTTCCCAGGAGGAAGGCACAGAGTGGGAGGAGACATGGCTTGGACGAGGTCATTCACTGAGGGGTGGTGGGCACGAGGACTGTTGGATCCTGGCCCCTCCCCTGCCTCAGTTGGGGTGCAGGTGCCTCTGCCGAGCTGGCTTCTCCCCCTTGAGGACTTTGGCCCCGTGATGTCACAGGCTGGTTGCCATGGAGACGTCAGGTAATGAACCAGCCCAGGGTGAAATCACGGGCTGCTCTTGGCCCAGCTGGGACTGGTGGCCACGTCACCACCAGCAACTGGAAAAACACAGAGTTTCATGTGGGGTGGGAGCTGGCAGGCAGCCCGAGGGGACCGCTCGCCCCTGCTCTGTGACTGCCTGCCTCTGCCGGGGGAGCTGGGGCACCCCGTTCTTTGCCAGTCCTTGCCCCCTCCCCTGACCTCCAGCTCTGAGGCCCCTTCTGGAACCTACTCCCTCCCCCACTGCCCTTGTCCAGGGAGTGACAGGTCCGTGGTTGCCATGGCAACCTGGAGGGGGCCTGCCTGATCTTTCAAGGAAAGGGAGTCACCAGAGGTCTCCTCTGTCCCTCTGCCTTCCCACACCTGCCCTCCACATGCGTGAGGGCCACCCCGGGCGTTCCCACCCCATGTCTAACCTAAGCCCCTCTTGCTGTAAAGCTCCCATCCTAGTCTCTGCGGCCCCACCCCTCAGGCACCCCCACTGCCGAGTCCACCAGCTCCTTTAGCTATTCTGCGGGGCTCCACGTCCCAGCCCATTAGTCACTGCACCCCACACCCCCCGGAGTGTCTCCTAGGGCTCCACACCCCAGGAGGGCAGAGGCGGGCCACGAGTAACCCTGCTC